AAACTGTGGATAACCACAGGGGAATAAAACTGAAGAAGATAAAGCAATTTACACCAATTTACTATGTGAAAACAACGTGTTTATGGTCTGGGATATTCTGTACGTAAACAGAATAAACAGTTTGTTTATGAGAATGACTAAATAAGTATTTAAACTATAACAAGTTAGACTTTACATATGACAGAATTGAATTTGTTTCTTTTCTGCCTCCTAGTGGAAAGAATTCAATCTAAATTTGTCCGGTTTCACTGAAATTGATGTGTGGATTAAAAACTGGTTCTGGATCTTGCAAAGTACAATTTTGCAAAATGCAGGTGGAAACAGTAAGTCATTTTTTTGACAACAAATTGGTCAAATTTAAACATTACAAAAAATATCTGTTAATTGGCACAAATCTTCAATAAAGCATCGGCCCAACCCCTATGTACACTGAGAATAGCTCCTTCATTATGGCAATCATCACTTTTTTCCCCTCACACTTCATGCAACATTTGTTATGTCTGCAGAATTAAATTAATTTACTACAGTGTGACAGCATAGATACAACTTCAGGACCTTCAGTCAAGGTTTTGGTATTGCAGTATCACGTGATCCTTCCTGCCATCACTTCACCTCACTGAATAAAGGTTAGTGCAAACTGCGGCAGCACTGGCTCTGGCAAAGATTGCATTAATCCATTGACCATTAGTGTTTCTGTTTGTATAGAATGGGGAAGGCTGGTGATACCACAACAGTGGCATTGCTAGATGATAAGATAAGTCTTAGTGTAGGTTAGGACTTTTGTTTGGGTGGTAGTGAAAGGCAGGTCTACTTCCCTTGGCCGTTGACACTAGAAGCGCTGGTGGTGACGATGTCCTCGTACTGTGGAGGAGGCTCCGTCTCTATCTGGACGTCTGTGTGGCCAACAGCCTCCTCATACGATGGCGGGGGATCTCCGGCGCTTCCTCTCCCTGATATGATCTCTGAGCCCGGAAAGGCTGGGCTGCTGTGGATACTCAGTTCTGATTGGTCAGCATGGTGGTAATCCCTCCCCCAATGGTCCATCGAGACCACCGACAGGACGTGGTCGTGATGCGAGTGTCCCAGGCTGGGGCTGCGCTGTGAGCGCTTGCGGGAGTGGCAACGCCACACGGTGATGGCGACGGCGGCGATGATGAACACAACCAGCATCAGTGGCACAATCAAGTAGACAGAGTGGACTCCACTTACCACTGTCTCCAGGCCTCCGGACGGACTGCTCTCACGCACGTATTCCTCCCAAAACCGTCTCTGCAGCAGATCAGAACAAAGACACACAGTCAAGATTAGAAATGTTTTTCTCAAGGCAAGACTCAACTACATTCAGGCAGGAGGCACAAAACTGTATCCAAAACCCAAGGTCACAGTATACAATACATTTTGTATGGATTACTGCAACTGAAAGGCCGCAGACAACAACAGCCATACAAAAAGAGACCACATGATTGTGCACGTCTATCTGCGTGACTTTGCTCTCTGGCCTTTCACAATGGTTTCACAAATACACCTCTCTCTCTCTCCCTCCAGCACGTACTCGGCTGTTCTTCCTGCTGATAATCATCACATCCTGAAAAACACCCACATTCCACAAGCTACCACGCTTGGCATAGAATTTAATACTTGACACATTAAAGGGATAGTCTGGATTTGGCATCAGTTACACAGCAGCAGTAGTAATATTGATTTGCTGAAATCAGCCCTGGCTGGGAGTCTCGTGTTTATAGAGATTTCCAGCTAATGTTCAGATGAAGTATTAAAAGAAGAAGTGATCCGTAGAATCAGCCATTTGTTCTTTCCTATGGAAAGTTGTGTGTTTGCGCTTATTACTTTCTGATGACCACACAAGCTGTGGTAAATTTTTGTCTGCCCAGTCACAGGCTGACTGGGAAATCTCATGACTATCTGCTGGAGTTAATATTCCTGTACACACATCACAACTGATGAGTCACAAAAACAACCAAATGCTAAACTAACAAAGGCCAAATCAGGTGTGTAGTAACGTGTATTTAATTTTTTGATGAGGAAGAATTGAATGCTCTGATGTGATGCTTTCTCTCGCCCCCTCACCGTCTTCTCGTCATTCTCGAAAGCTTCGCGGGCCTCCTCATAGGTGCAGATCTCCTCGCGGCACTCCCTCTGGATGTCTCCCTGCTTCATCTCCTCCAGCATGAAGTTGGCCCTGCGCAGCCGCCGCAGCACGGAGTGGGCTGCGTCCGCTGGCAGGAACACTGAGAGGAGGGCAGTAGCAGAAGAGTGGTGGGGGAGCCGAAAGACAAGGGCAAAGAAGGAGGGAAAGGATGCAAATTTTTCAAATGTCTGACAAAAATTCATGAATTCAGACAACATGTGGCAACAGTAGAGGTAAGGGTATATCAGTGAGCGAGGAGGAAACAAAAGAGGGATTTAGCAAAGATAGAGAACTGAAAAAGAGAAGAGTGAGGCAATGGGAGTGGATAGAGATGCAGAAAAAAGGCAAAAACTGGGAGAACAAAGGCAGTAGAGCAGAGTTGAGTGCTGCCCAGTGCCCAAATCTCTGCATAAAAACAAACGTTTCTTTGATGTCGGCATCTGTCTCCATGAAGTTAGTGAGACAGAGCGCTCCTCTGTTCCACACTCCCAGAATAAGAATATAAAACTCTCCAACACAAACTGCGCACAAGATGCCACAACATGCCTTGGGAACGTCTGACAGACGGGGGAATTAACAAGCAAAGGAGTCTGTGTGATCAGGGATGTGATCAGCACAAGACTTGAAAGGCAAAAATAAACAAGGAAATAAATAGAAAAGGAGAAATACTCCTGAAAAAGAATAAGATTTGTGCGCTAAAGATCTCACATTTCAACGACTAACCTACTGTATGTTTGACAATGTTGAAAATACACATATTAGAAAAAAGAGAAGTGGAAGAAAGAAAGTGGGAGTGTCCGTTTCTAAGGAATCTGAGCGATGAAGTTCATGCAAGTGCCTTTGCTTGTGGGCACAAGTAGAATAAAAATAATGTCTGCAGACTTACCGCTCCCCATGATTCCTGCGAGTCTGTGTGGGACGATTTATCTGTAGAAAACCAAACACACATTGATAAAACTTGTGGATATGAGTCACACAATAATAACCTGGGTGCTCTTATTAAAAGCAATAAACACCAGTGACTGAAAAGTAATAATAAGAATAAACTGTTTTCATATAGCACTTTTCAAAACACAGTAACAAGGGACTTGAAAAACTGAAGGCGAACAACAGGAAGCAGTTAAAAAAGGAAACAAGCAATTGAACAATAGGACAGAAGGTAAATATCAAATATCTGTAATAACATGGACATGACAATTCCCATAGCATTAAATGCAGCTCAATGTGCTTTACACGGAACAAGCAGTTAAAACATTACCTATTAAGACAATACGTTTTAAAAACAGTTCTTTAATAGACGAATCCCTTTTAACAAATGATCATTTAGGAGACTTCTAAAAGGAAATGAGAAGTGGCAACAGTCCACAGCAGCAGATGTTTGGCTTGAAACCATCACCTGTCAGCTGAGGGTAGAAATCTGAAGATCTGATGAGTCCAGATCAATTGATTGAATGACTTTAACTGGGTTTTTTCGCTGAAAACATGACAACACCTCGTTGACCAGAGAGTCGCTGGTGACCAATGGCGTCCGCAGGCCACCGTTACACGCGCTGGATGCGTTCGCTCCGGGAAGCAACACTCCCCTCACCCTAAAATAGATCCACGACAGTCGGACACACGGCTAACAAAGCGCCGCTTCACCGTCACACACCAGCGCCTCAGACACGGACCAACAAGTGGAGACCCTGTTAGCTGCAGCGTCCATGTTGCTTTTAGCCGGCCTCATCCCTGACTGTGTGAGAGGGCTGCCGCTGGTTAGCGCCCCGCGGACTGACAAGCGGAGGGGAGTGATCGGTGGGATCAGCGCCTCCGCAGGGAAACACGATTTAAAGGACAAAGAGGTGGATGGAGACTGTGCCGTTAGACCCGACGTGTGTTTTGCTCCATATTAAACGTGTTAGGACAGAGGGAAAGTTCAGCTCACCTCTCTCTGTGTCCGAAATGCGCATCGACAGCCGCTCGACTCCTCCGCCGCTCCTCTGTGCAGAGCAGGCGCACTGATCTGTTTGTGTGCAGCGGTCAGGGATGCGGCCCTGCCGGCCCTGCCCCTCAGTTAAAGGGACAGTTCACACACTTCATCATCCTGACAGCACGAGAGAACACACGACCCTCTCTGTTTCGTTTTTATTTATGATTCTTTCATTTTGACTGTTTTACCTTTTGTGTGGCCAACATCCTTGTGTGTTATTATTGTTTGTATTGCACTTCTTCTTGTTGAACACTTTTTTGTGTTAAGAGTTTAAGGGATTTAATAATAACATGGTTATTATATAGT